GCAGAGAGAGAGACGAGCTGGAAGTCGTCACGACTCCGGAACCCATGCCACCGCCGCCGCCGTTGCCGCCGTCGCTCAAGTGCGGGGGAAGAACTTCGTCGTCGCCCGCCCCCCCGGAGGCGTAGGCGAAGGGGTCCGGCAGCTGCTGCATCGCCGCCGCCGGTGGCGAACCACCGCCCCCCACGGGCAGATGATCTCCGCCTTCTTCTCGTTCTTCTTCTTGTTCCCGGTAGTCGTACTCGGTAGCATGTTGGTCTGCCACCCCGTCCCGCCTCCTCGACCAATACCCTCCCCCGTCCCTCGAGCAGAAAGGCTCACCCCCCAAAACCTCCTGCTGCTGCTGTTGCTGCTGTTGCGGCGTCGCCTCCCCGGCGTAGTAAGTTCCGAACTCGTCATCGTCATCGTCTTCATCTTCCGAGCTCAAATCGGAATCCGAGGACAAGTCTCGATCGCCACCGCCGCTGATCTGGCGGCCGGGCGCTTGCAATCCCTGGGTCGAAAGAGAGAGAAAGAGAGCGCCGAGAGCGCGGAACACAAGGCGGGGCAAAAATACGCAGAAAAAGGTGTTGATATTAGTCGGAAAAAACACAACCCACGCTGTCTTCCAACTGGAAATAATCCCAAACACACACAGTAGCATTTGCTCGCGCCCACAACAAAAATACACTCCAAGATGTTGCGCACGCTGGACGAGAGACAAAAAATATCACAACATCACAACATCACAAGCAGTGGCGCGAAGGCACAACGTCTACCGCAGGGTTGATGGACACGGGCCGGGAGGAAGGCGGACGTGGTGCACATGAAGGTACTGGGTAGTAAAGTAACTTCATCGTGAAAGGGGCGCCTACCGAAATACAAACCAGTGTGTCTGTCCTGTGTTGTGTTTTCTTCGAAGCTAGCATCGACCGCTAACCGGCTGACCAATGAAAACACGCCAGTCTAATACAGGACAAAGAAACGCGGACAAGCATCCAAACTCATCGAAGGGTCTGTATGTCTTTGTCTTTCTCCCCCCCCCCCGGCCGCTTTGCCATCAGGGTTTGGGTTTTCGTCGCTTGGCAACGACGTTGTAAAACAAGCCCCCCACTCGGTGTTTGCCATCGGGATTGGGTTTTCGTCGCTTGGCAACGACGTTGTAAAACAAGCCAATTCACTTCGTGAACTCGGCAACCAGGTTGCCGTTTTTTTTTTTTACCTCTGTTTTTTTTTTTGGCGGTAACCATAATGGTAGCCGAGTAGATCATGTTGTGCGGGGTCGAGAAACCTCACTCCGCGCAACGGGGGATGATCGCACCACGTTGTGTTAAAATGGTCAAGCTTCCTCGAGGCAGTTACACAGTGCTTACAACTGTCTCTGGAAGTGAAAGCACCAGAAAATAAATTAAGTCATACGTAGCTGTCATCCGTACGCAAGGAAGTAAGCACAAGATGCCGAACACCCTTAGCAGGATGCAGCTCACCCTTCATGCGACTCGCCAAATACCTCACGGCGCTTCGCGCTTGGTGATGTGAGAACCTGGTCCGGTGAGAACCCGGCGTGCTCCGTCCCGGCTTTGTAGGGATGCGAGGTCAATGGTCAAACGACTACGGCATGCACGACTATGAGTACACCCCCCCCCCCCCCCCCTGGGGCAAAAAAAAAAAACCAAAAAGGCAAAAAACCTTTCCAAGA